GACTCTAGAGTCTAAACATGGCTCGCTCGCGTTGTATGTTTGAACAATTTCTAATTCTCAATAAAATCAACAAAATCGAAAGGGGTCTAACAACACCCTTATGTAATAGCAAAACACAATAACCACTAGACATAAAGAATAGTTAATGTGGAATTTACCTGATTAAAATTTCTCCCAAATTTCCAGTAAACTGTCCCTCAATATACTCCTCAGTGTTTGCTAGCTACAGAGAAATTTTCAGATATAAAGGAAAATTAAAATATATATATATATATATATATATATATATATAGGTTTTAAAAGCCAATTAGTCCCACTTTGGGTTGAAAAATCTCAATTAGTCCCTCGTTATAAAAGTGTTGTACATTAGTCCTAACTTTTAAAATAGTGGATCAGATTGTCCCTTTCATGTAAATATAAGTTAACAAATAATGGATGATGATGTGACACAACTTAAAGCTGATGTGTTAGATTGGTTCCTCGTTAGCTTTAAGTTGTTTCACATCATCGTCCATTAATTTTGTTAACTTATATTTAACAGAAAGGACTAATCTGACCCACTATTTTAAAAGTTAGGACTAATTCAAAACACTTTTATAACGAGGACTAAATTGAGATTTTCAACCAAAGGGAGGGGACTAAAATTGGCTATTAAAACCTATAGATATATAGAATATATATATTATATATATATATATATATATAATACTAAACAAGAGGCTTAAAGTAGTGGATGGGAACAAAAACATATCGGAATTTAACTTAAATATATACCTGCAAATTCATATACGAATCAACAGAAACGAGATACCCTGAAAAAAGACACAGTGAAGACATAAACAAAATGAAATTGAAGCAGTGATTGACCACCTAAGGAATAAAAACCGAAACGAAGCGTTTAGCAGTGAAATAAGAATAGCTAAAACGATCCCTAAAAAAGCACCATACCCTTGTACTCCATTCCCCACTTGAGTTTCACAATTACTGGTTTCCCGGTCAAATTATTCAAAAAAGGCTTGGGATTAACTGGTATAGCCTGCAAAAGACGAGGTAAAAAAGAAACTTTAACGAATTAGAAAATAAGAGACAATCCATCAGACACTGTGATCTTCTATACTCAACCAACATTGGCTTAGAGGCAGAAGCAAAGGGAAAATTGAAATTACTCAATTATGGAGATGCGGTTATGCGAATGAAAAGCATGGAAGATGATGAGCGAGAGAGGGAGCGAGAAGAAGGTACTCACAGCCATAGTAGAATGTTTGCTATGTGCTCTACGAGAACCCAATGGCAAAAACCTGTTACTGTGAAGTAGCAGAGGGCAAAAACTGAAAAGTAGGGTTTTGTTTCCCGGGCCAGGCCTTTTTTAGCAGGCCAGTGGGCTTATACATGTTCTTTTCTTTCACGGCTATTGTTTCCTGCACGTCCTTATTTGCTACATGGACCTCCTTATGTAATCCAAAAGGTCGGTTTTTGAATTTAACCCTACCCCTTAACTGCTTCCTTTTCATCTCCATTGTCATCTTCATCACCATCGTCTTCACCATCAGCACCATCTTTAGTCTTCTGTGTGCCTATTCCGTCATCATCATTTCGTTCATCTACTCACCCATTCCATCACTTTCTTCTCACGGTCAACCATCCATCCATCTTTTCTCCATTGACACTCAACAACAGACACCATACAGTAACTTCATCACATTACAAACAACAGTCTCCATATCCTTTCGTTCCACTCAAAATTATCCATCACTGCTCTTCGTCAATTCATCTTCATCTCCATTAATTTCCTCCAACACATCACAGATACATCTTCATGGCCATCAACCCTTCACATCTTCCAGCCACCTCCCCATCATAGCCCCTCGCTTTCTTTCTTCTCAACCTCATCACTAACTTTTCTCCTTCAATCACCAACCTTCACTTCACCCAGATTCTAAAAAAAAAGTAGAAAAAAAAACAGGAAAAAACATGGTGGGTGCATCCTCAACAAAGACAGACAATAAAGTGGTTAGAAATTATGGTAATTTTTTATGTTGGAATAAATGCTCTGCAATAGCAGCCTATCCACCTTCTTTCTCATCTTCTTTTCTTCTTCCATTGTTTGTTCAATCACGTTACATTTTTTTACTATTCATCCACATACAGGTACTCGTGTATTTTTTTTTTGTTAATGGGTTAACACCGTTGTCCTTTCTTTCTTTCAACGGAGAGGACACCCTTAATTAACCTCATTTAGTTTAGATTTACACAAGTTAGAGTTAAAGAAAAGCAAGAAATGCAAAAGTGTAGAAACAATAACTGTACACACTGCGTATAAGGAACACATGCACCATAAAACAGAACATACAGAACATATAGATGCTGCTATGCTAATGCACCAGTCTCTCTTAATGTACTCTCTTTGATATAAATCAATATACACATGTATGTGTTTTGATTTTTATGTTAAATATAAAGATATTAATTATAAGTTGTAACCATGCAAATAGATTGTGGCAAAATTAGGTTTGGATATTGAGAACATCACAGGCTATTATGTTCAAATCAAAGATATTTATTCGCATCTTCCTGAATGCATTCCTATAAGTGTTCTGCTCAAACCCTCACTGAATACTTTGCATTGGTAATAAATAGTATTAACTGTTCATGAATATCTCCTACAGCTCTTTGATTCTTGAATATGGGCAACGTCATTGAATCGCTTGCTTCGGGCTTAGGACAGGCATTTGGTAAACTGTTTAGTTCTCCAATTGAATTTCTTTCTGGAAAGTCTTGCAGGTAAGACGACGCAGGGGTAAGGGTTATTCTACTCTCCTTATGATTCATGTATTTATTGTTGCACTTCCACTTCAGCTTGATTATATTTGTTCTCCTGGAATTTGTTCCAGTCAGTGTGTGGACCAACATGGGATTTCATGTGCTATATCGAAAATTTTTGCATTGCCAATATCCTGAAATTAGCCATGGTATTTATGCTATCTTACATTGGTGAGTTCAACTGTTTGGTAGATTGCAGCATGGTCTGTTGCAGTGCTTGACACGAACCTGAAATTGGGTTTGTATGTTCTGTTTATTTGCAGTTCTGTTGTTCTTCTATCTGGTGCATAAATTGGGCATATGTGGATGTCTTTGCCGGTCTTCTTGCAAAATGACGTGGGCATGTTTCTCTTCGTGTTTCCATGTTTGGGAGTATTCTTGCACCTTCTTGTGTATTAAGCTACACAATATCAGGAGAACAAGGAGAATAAGAAGGGTCAGAGTGGACATGAAAAAAAAATTCTACTCAGGTGAAAGCCTTTCACACCATTTTCCATCACGTACAAAAATGAGCAGATCAATTTCGCGTAGTAGGGACTATAAAGCCTCCCACCTAAGGAAGTCTTTGAAACCAAGGAGACATTCATGCTAGAGTTGAAATCAGGTAGAGATCTTAGATGTAAAAGTAAAGGAATCATAGTCTTGGAGAGCAGTTCACAAGCAATGGCATTAAGCACGGCAATCACAGAGGCACAATCAATGACATAAAGGTAATCCATACATCTAAGTTTACAAGGAAAAGGTATATCTAGGAGGAATAAGTTCTGCGAGGCAGAGAGGCAGAATCTTAGTTGAGGGTTCTTATGCGAACACTTTCTTGCTTATGTTTCTGATTTGTCAGGATGAAAAACAAAAAAATGGAATATACGAGAATCTGGATGTTAAGAATTTATTCTTGGGTTTGTAAGGTATTGTAAATATCCAGTTGTAAGATATTGCAAATATTGTAAAATATATCATTTTGTGTTCCAAATGGATGAATCAACTGCGTAAGAAGAAGCTTATATATACATTATGAATTCCTCTCTTGCCACCATTTATGTACACACGTGATTTTACGTATTCTGCATCAGCTTGGCAGTTAAGATTGTCTACTTTGGTTAATAAACAGGAGTGAAAAAGTTAGATTCTGTATAAGGTAGTGGAAGGTGCAGTCAGTGCAGTTGATGAGTTTTATCTCGGTTTTCGATCAGAGTGAAGACAATTCACCAACGTTGCTTTGCTATGCATGGCATCTTTGTACTTGCAATGCGTGAGTAATATCATTGAGAAAGTGCTATTTATGTGCGTCCAATTTGGCTGAAGGGTATGACATAAAACAGAAAAAAGAAAAGGGATTACTGATTTGGGTTTGATACTTTTAATTAGGACAACAAAAAACCGTATCCAACAACAAATTCGAAATAAATGTGATACTTTTAAAAGTTTTGTCTTTTTCTTTGTATCTAGGGTGCTTTCAATTCTCTCACCATACATCGTCAATGCCTCTCAAACAAAGAATAATAATAAAGGTTAACAAAGTTCTGTTTCACTTAAGAGTTAAAGCCATAGTCAATTTAAATATATACTTTCCTTTCAATTTTTCAATTCTTAAAATAAACATTTAAACGTTCTAATATGGTTATGCTTTTGAAAGATGACAAACAAAGAAGTAATCTCCGTCAAAATGGCATGAAGTAGTATGGTTGCCGACTATTCACTACAGATCCACAATTATATGTTGGAATCATTGCATTTGCAAAATTTGTGTAGATCTACAATTTGAATCTCAGTTTAAAATCGATTCAAAAATCTGGTTCTTTCATGTACACATTTGGTTAGGTCAAAACAGATTAAAAAGGATATTATTCATTTATAAAATTAATTTAAATAGATATATGTAATTAAGAGATGTAAAATATTTTAATAATTTATTTAAATATTATATTTTACTAATATTAAAAAGTTAACTTCAAGTAATAAATTAATGATACAACCTTACAAAGAAGTCAGACATAATCTATTTTTATTGTGAGGGTTACTTCCTGCACCACCACAGTGCTCCTGTCACCTCTCTATTCCTATTTTACCTTTCGATAATATTTAAACGGATTTGAATATGCATTAGATTCTTAAACGGATGTCACATCCGTGAACGGATATCGACATCTGTTTGAACACACAAAAAAGATGCGACATACGATTCAAAATTTTTTTATTGATGAAGAAAAGTCACGAGAGAGGGGCATCAATCTCTAGATATATAGCATATTCTCATTAAGAAGTCACTCCATAGATAATGAGCATCAAGCCAATTTTAATTTATATTAACATCTGCCACATCTCACAAACGATTTCTCCACTCAATCGGAAATCACATGTGAAATCAAACTCTTTTTCCAAACATGCACTCCTTAATTCTTAGCAAGATATCATATAATATTAAGAGTAAGGCTTATCATAGGCAGGGATAAGTATTAGAACTGGTATCTTGGATAAAACCCAAAAAGGTGTTCGTGTGCAGAGAGAGAAAGCAGCGGAGGCTTCCATGGTTCAGACATTAGCACCAACAAAATAATTTTAGATATTTTTAAAAGCTAAGGTCATGGATACGGAAACATGGTTGAGCAGTGAGATAATATATTTAGACCAGAAAAAAGTGTTACGATACGAATAACTAATGGTTATTAGTCATCTCTTACAACTGAACTATTAAAACTATGCTATAGTCATTATTTTAAAGTTGACAAGTTTTTCATTAGTGAGTTTTATTTTGTTGATAACCAGTTTAAACACAACTCTTTGTGATACCAAAGAGTAGTTTGTGTTGCAATTAGAAAAAGATAAAAGTGAAGGGGGTGTAGGGAGATTTAGAGTTTTAAAAAAGTAAATAAAATTAAATGGTACAAGTTAAATTAACCTAGAGTATTTTTGGAACAAAAAAATAGTAAAGAGGTGTAGGAACACTTGGAGAGAGTGATGGAGGGAGGAACTCTCTTTCGGGTGAGAAAATAGGACCCTTGGCCCAAATGTTCTGATCCAAGACTCCAATGAAAAAAGACAAAAAAAATAATACCTATAATTTTTTAGGGCTTTATTGAGAAGTTAACTTATTTAGTATGCTATCGAATTATTTAAATTTAAATAATAAATAAGTTCTAAAAAGTTATAATTGAATTCTTGAAATTATAATATTATTCTAGTCGGGTTTCAGGTTGAGTTCTTGAAGCTATGAAATATTTGTAATTGTACACTATGATAGTAATTTACTATTGCAGAGAAATAGATACTAACTAAGGACATATCCGAGAAAAAAATTAATTAAACTTTGAAATTTTAAAACATTAAAAGTATTTAAAAAAAAAGACAAAAACTTCTAACGCATATTAATTTATTTGAACATTTTAAAAAGGTGGTCACTAGATTAAATTAATCAATACATTTTTAAGTTATCTGAGAAATTAAAAAAAAAGTTTTAGTATTTTTAAAACTAGATTAGTAAAAAACTTATTTGAAATTTTTTTAGTTCCAAAAGTAGTTGGATTTTAAACAAATTCAATCACATTTTCAATATATAATATTTTAAGTGATAAAATAAATTAAATTAAAAAAAAAACTTTAGTTATAAAAGTTGTATAATGACAAAATAGCATATATTATGCGTAATCTCAAACATGGGTTCTTAGTTAGAAAGAAAAGTTAATATAATCGCAATGGCAAACCAATAATATGTATAATTTTATTAATTTTTATAATGATTATTTAAAAATGATATCAAAGATAATCTTTTATTGAATGAAATGTCATTCTTGACTATTAAATTCGCATTTGTATTTTTTTATTTTATTTTTTCCTTTTTTCTCATTTCTGGTATTAAATTACTTCTTATCATTTCAATGTAGTCTCTCTCTTTTTTTTAAAATTTAATGTAATCGTTTTTCGTCTAAATCAAACCCATGACAAAAGGAATATGTTAGAATCAAACAGAGCATCATCCTTAACGCCATTAGCATGGTAAAAGCAATATAGAATTTTTGTAGAGGATTAAAGGATCCATTCAACATTATCCAGAAATAAGAAAAAATTATTTCTATAAATAAATAAAAAACTATAATTAATTAAACTTTTTTACATGGAAATGAAAAAAAAAAGTGTTAACTATTAGGTGGCCAAACTTGTTCACACACGAGGCGTTAATTAGAATAATGAAGGTTTGATATGATATGAGAATGAGTTTACTATCAACGGCGCAATTTGCGATCACTCTTTTCACTCATCTTTTTCGTACGTCCCCACCCACACTCATCATTCTATTTTCACTCTCCTTTATTTTTCTCCTACAAACTAACATCTCAATTTCGATTTAAGTTTCCTAAAAAGAATTACTCTAACTTCAAATTTATTTCACTTAAAAAACTGAGTGTAAAAATAGTTTATAAGTTAGACTAAAAATCCCTTCCCAGTTCCTATCCTTTTAACTTTAGGTTAAATCGTAAACGGATTCTCCTTTCACTTCTTCCAAAATAGATTTCCACTTTGGCTCAATATAGATTTATCGATACGCAATGGTTCAAGCAAACAGAAGAAAAAAAAAACAAAAAAGAAAAAAAAAAGAGAATGAGGAGATGTAAAGAGAAGTAAGTAAAAAATAGGGATAAAAAAAAAAAAATAGGAAGTCGAGAGAGTGAGATAGAATGTATGAGAGAAGAAGAAAGAATTAAAAAGAAGATAAAAAAGATAGAGAAAAAAAAAAGAATTAGAGAAGTAGATTTAATAGATAAAGAAAATAAAAAATAGAGTAAAAAAAAACAAATAGATAATAGAATAAAAATTAGAAAAAAAAAAAATTAAAATAAAAAAAATAGAGAAAGGGAAAAAAAAAAAAAAAAATAATTAGATTTCCACTTTGGCTCAATATAGATTTATCGTACGCAATGGTTTTTCAAAAAAAGGCCAAACGAAGAAAAAAAAAAAACTAGCTTTTTTGACTGCTTGAATAGTTAAATTTTAGGCTTAATACCGGTTTTTGTCCCTCTTTTATAAGGGAAATGTTCTTTCGTCCGCCTTTTTCAAAAAAAGTTCAAGTGGTCACATTTGTGAAAAAAAGTGTTCAAGTTAATCCTTTTTGGTCACGGCGTTAATATTAACGTCCTGTGAAACGTGGCTGTTTACCTTCATTGAGTGGCAAGTGAAAGTGTTTTTCATTAAAGTTGACGTGGTGGCAGGAAGTGATTAAAAAATTGTGCTCCGGCCCCCCCATCTCATTTTCCTCCATTTCCACCGATTTTCATCTTCTCGTTTCACCATTGACGCCGGAACTTCTCGTTTTC